TTAGTCCGATGTTCATAATATTAGTATCCAATGGAATTAGTTATTACTTTATTTTAAGCCGACCAGTTTTGTAAAACCTACAAAACCCCACCCTCCCTACGTTTTAACAGCTAGTCGTTCGTTTCGAATAGCCTGGTTTTTGATTTATACTCTTCAAAAATAGTAGGGGATATTGAAATGCAAATACCTATGCAGGTTGTGATATGATAAATAGTCATGGACACTTGACATGCTTTGAGAGTATGTTCACAGATGAAGAACTTATCGCCCCAACAGAACCACTGAGCTGTATAGACGTGGGAGGGGTTCATTGTCAAATTTGACACTTCAAGGGAGGGTTGATGAAAACTGCCGCTTGCTGGTTTATCCTATCCAAGAATTCCTTCCCTATCGGTTCTTGCACACGATTTACTTTTTAGCATATCTTTACTTTAGTGTTTCGCGTTTAATTTGATCGGGAGACGTGTTCGTCGACGTCAACCGAGAACACTGCAAGAATTGGCCGTGGCACTGCAAGGGGAGTGGGTCAGATTACCCCAAATCGTGATCGGACGGTTGATTAGGAGCATGCCACGACGAATTGCTGAATGTCTGAGGATTGGTGGAGCAATTATTCATTATCAAGCCGCCCATATGAACTGTTTATGTTCGTGTGTAGGCAATTGGCTGTTATTAACATACACTGGTTACTTCTATTAAAAACTGCAGTGCATTTCCGCAGTTTTGTATTGTTTCTGAATATCCCCTACTTTTTTGAAGATATTACGCTTAAAGGCTCGTTGCGTCTTCGCATTTTCGCTAAAATACCAATTCCCTCACTTCTTAATACACGCTAGTTAATATGCACTAAGCTGATTATTTCACTTTACTGTTCTCGAGCAGCATAGATTATTGAATTTTGAAAAACTGAAATTTTCGTTTACGTGATAACACGCGGATGTACGGATTAAAGGGGCATTGGCAGTGAAATACCGTATTGTGAGTAATAGAGTTTATTTTGGACGTTTGTATCCAAGGGCTACTATTCTGTGTTGGGAAATAATATCTTCAGCCTTATTTTTAATTGTTGGTGTTGAGACTACTATGCAACAAGATGGTGTCACTTTACCTTGCCCTTAACCTCTTGCACGCCAAGGTGTTTATGTGTTTTTCGTCCCCACCCAACGACTAGGCACACTCTGCTGATCAAGTCCACACTCGCAACCTCTGAGAAGTGAAATCTTCGAAGGGATTTGAACCCTAAACCTTACCCACCAGACCAGTGAAATCACGTCTAAGGAGCATTGTCCATAGACAATACCTATCATCCCACTCACTATCGACTAAGTCCAAATATTTATCTACACCAAGATTGAAGATTGAATATTCTACTTTAGGCAAGGTAAAATGTGTCCCGACCAATTAAATGCTAATCATGGTCATCGAAAATTATTGTGTCTAAAAACATGTGACGGGCATTCATTTCCATAGTCCACAAAAATACTCCTTTTAATATCGTTTTAGCATGACATGTATAACTAACCACCTTTAGCTGGTCAATCATGAAGTGTCATAAATTAAGATAAGATTTTTCAAGAGGTGCAAGACGCATAAAGACTATTTACACACATTTAAAATACAGTTATGTATTTTATGAAGTTTAAAGATGCATTATGGAAGATTTAGATATAGGGCAAACAGTTCTCGCTATATATAGTTTAAAATATAGATAATGGAAAAGGAATATATTTAAACCTAACAGTCAAATTACTTTATTCTGAGCGAAGTTATGAATGTAAGTAGTTTTTATAAGAATAGTGTAGTCTGGGTTTCCATTGTTACGATAATAAATACAGTCTCGATTATCCACTTTTAAATTATATTATTAAATGGCGATCGATCGTGTTTTAATTCATTAAAATCATGACCAACCGATTGTCTAGAAGGATGATTATGTAACAAAATATATAATAAATAATCTATATAACATTTTAGGCCCAAAGAAAGACCCGCAATAGGCTTTTACATAATGCATCTTTAATAGCCTGGAATGATAAACAACGTCATAATTTATTGTCACTGTAATATATATAACACTTATAACACATGATACACTATCTCTAGTTACAACCACGGCTATTGGACAGATAATATGGTAATTTATAAAGAGTTGTCTTGAAATAATCGGGAATAATACGATGCTTATTTGTGTCATTCTATTGTCTATTCATTGGGCGCATGGAGAACATACAGGTTAGTTGATATTTCAACAAATAAAGAACAATAGGTAGTTGATATTTCAACAAACAAAAAAAAACACTGCCGTCAGTAGTCCTAAAATCGGTAGAATGCACTGAGACCCGCTTTCAATTTGAATAAGATTTAAATTCAAACAAATTTTGTATTACATTTCTGTTTCCCCATCTACACACCAGCTTTTGATGGTGTGGACCTGGAATGCTTTTGGAACAACTGGTACGATGTTCCATTAATCCTGTGACCTCTCCACGTGTTTGATTTTGTCGAATCCCCCCTTATCAATTTGTATTTTTATCGTGGACCGTGGTGCCTTGCTTTACTTAATCTCCTTTATATTCTCAATTTCGGTTGGGTGGATACGATGCTGCGATATTCTAGTTCTCAAGTTAGCTTCTATACTAGTACACTAGTTTCGATTTTTAACCGCCCATCATGTTCTCGGTCATTACGTCATAGCCCTCATCTGGTGACATCGTTCTACCACATTAGGATACACACCGATGTCAAGTATTAAGTAGAACATTCTTCGTGTATGAAGTACATTCATTCTTATTAAAACACAGATCCTATTTCGTTTCATTTTTTTTATAGTTCAGTGTGTCATTTTGCTTGTTTTTACTACACTAGGATCTAGAAGAATTATTATATAACCCGCTTTCTGATTGATGTGAGGATTAGCCAATGAAACGGTCTGTTGCGACGAGTTCTTGGTGTGCGGTGCATGGACTGTGGGTATCCCACTAAAAACATTAACGCTGATTGGTTAATCAAATGTCTGACATCATAGGGTTAAAAGCCGCTGGTGTGAACACTGACGCGACCTCCCACTACACCCTGTCAGATCGTCATGCAGCGAGGGCCATTGAGAGCATACAAACGAAACGAAATATAGATTTTAATTTGATCGGAGTACACTTCACTGGTCTCCACACCAAACGCCATTATATTATAATGATTGGCATTTAAAATTCGACAGCAAAGAACTGCCCCGATATACAAATCATATTTATTTTAATAATCAGATCCCTGTGTATCCCACAAACTGTTGATAGATGATGGTGGGAGAAGTGGTCATTGTGATCTGCAGTATGACGAATGCGACAGATATATAGAGGAGAGCTGGTATCGAGTTGCAACAAATGAGGATTCGAGGCTGACTATACCACTCTCATGTGTTGATGTGCTGAAATGTGGTACCGTCTACCCAATTTGGATGAACGGTAAATAGCTTTTTTCAGTATAATAAATATAGTGACCAATGCGTATATGATTCAAAATACATTTTACCAAAGAACAGATTGAAATACAATGGCATTATTGTTGTACCGTTGTTTCTATAAAGATAATCAACGACAAATGAATAGGAATCTTAAAGTAGCTAAGTCTCCAACTCAAAATAACCCCAAGTCATCAAAATTGATGTTGTGATTTTACCTGAAAAAGATGAGCTTCTGATATCCAATATTTAAGACAACAAACATTTTACATCGTGTACCATATTGCGTTTCAGCGCCAATTGTAATAAGAGACTCGAAGAACGAGGCTAGACATATTCCATGTCCAACGGTGACCCCATATTCTGATCTGGAGAGCATGCACAATAAATAACTCCAGTGTAAACTGGAATAACCAGGCGCTAGAGATTGCAAATCGAATGAGACATAACTGATTTGAAATTAGAGTAAAAACGGAAACGATTGTATGGAATTCAGTTTATATACATTCATATTACATTATTATATGCTTTGAAAATATCTAGGTCCCAAATATTAACGATTTAGCTCCTTTAAAATATTTAAGACATTTAAACTTTTGTCAATGCCAATATGTCGATTACGTCCATTTTGAAATGTCAACAAAGGGTTTTCGGTAGTTTCAAAGTCTTATTTTACAGGCAGCCTACCTACCGTAAATGAAGGAAATGTGACCAAAACAGCTTGCGTATCGACACAAGATTCTTGCTGCCACCATTCCTACAACATAATGGTTAAAAACTGTACTTACTTCTACGTCTATTATCTCATTCGTACAGCAGGATGCCCAGAACGCTACTGTTTTGGTGAGTGTATCATGTGCAGGAAAAACGTTGTATTTCGGACAATGCAATTGTCAAAACTATTGAAATATATGCTTAAACCATAAATCACCTGCAACATTTCTTCTGCAGCGAGTCTGATGTCCAATATATCGCCCCTCCCCCCTTGTTACTTTGCACAAATATAAGAATGGTTAAGGAATGCGACGCTAGTCACAGATGATGAATATGGGACTGTACAGTGCAATAAACGGTTACGGCCAGCCCCGGATCCATTCACTTAATCTGATATGTACGTTTGTTTGTGATTCCTGCATATTGTGTCATAATTGTCGGTAGTTTTCTTTTGTGTTGGTTTGTCTGATGCAGCCCCCACCCCCCTTGCACTGCATATTAGAAATACATTCTGACCTGTGCGGACTGGCGCCTCAATGATTCAACCATAATGTCAAATATAAAGAAGGCGACGAAATTACCATTAACAGTTCACCTTATTAAGAATAGCCATGATTAAAGTATGTTGGCTTTTAATTATGAATGTCGATTAACCACCATAAAATAAAATGCATGCAATTGCTAGAGTAAATAAAATATCATTGGAGCGTATATATTGCCCTTTTCAAACTAGATTTACTACCCGGACACATTATTTAATAGCAGTTCAAAATCCATTTCTCTGACTAAAAATAAGATTGTATCGTTGAAGGTGACCACAACCAGTGTCCGACCACAACAACCAGCACTACCACTACACCACCACCGAATAGCCAATCAACGTCTTCTACAACTACTACTACAGGTACATGTTATTTCATTAGATGCTGTATCACAAAAGGCTTTATGCATTAACCAAGGTGGTGGGAACAATGAATTTTTTTTTTCTCATCCTCCCATTCCCACCTTATTCTACCGGTCCAGCCGTTCAATCACAACTGACTAGTTTGCCAAGCGTCCCTGGAACAACTGTCTGCGAAATCGCATCGGTGGAAGTGGACATTAAGGCCCACGAACATTAATAGCATACACTGTTGTCTTAATGTTTACCAAACCCAAATCATGTCTTATCGTACAACCAGACGACCGTTGACTGAATGACACGCGAACTAGTAGAGTGCTCAGGGGCCGATGCAGGAGTTTTGAAAAGGGTGGTAGTGCAAGAGAGTTTGTTGCGGAGCGAAGCGAGGCAATTCCATTTTTAACCTCTTTTTCTACCATTTTTTTTCCAGAATAAACCCGCGGCAAGTGAACGCAAGCGTCCACTGTCTTACATTTAAAGTTTGTGACACTTCGTATTTTCGACATTCCCGACAAAGAGATATAAATTGATTCTAGCTTTTTGAAGTTGATATACACAAATATACTTTTTATACGCCCACATTTTCATGTGGACGTATATTGTCGTCGCCCCTGTCCGTCCGTCCACAATTGTTTGTGAACAGTCTACAGGTCACAATTTTTATCCGATTTCAATGAAACTTGAAATATAGATTTATCACCCTAAGATCTCGGTTCCTTTCGATATTGGCATCTATCGGACCGTAACTTCGTGGATTATGGCCCCTCTTTGTACGAAAAATCACGTTTTGGGCTTGTAAACATAGTAGAGGTCACAATTTTTATCCGATTTTGTTGAAACTTGAAATGTAAGTTTATAACCCAAAGATCTCGGTTCCTGTCGATATTAGCGCATATCGGACCGTAACTTCCTGAATTATGGCCCCTGATTGTACGTAAAAACGCGTTTTTTGGCTTGTGGACCCTATAGAGGTCATAATTTTTATCCGATTTAAAAAACTGTATTACTATATCACCAATAAACCCTAAGAACGGTTGAGTTCGAATTTCGTGAAAATCGGACCAAAACTGACAGACAAAATCTTGGTTCCTTTCGATATTTGCGCATATCGAATTGTAATTTCCTGAATTATGGCCCTTGATTGTAGGAAAAATCACTTTCGTTTTAGCTTGTTTTCTATCCATCTCTGGAAAAGGCAGCCGCTAGTTAACATTGTATATAATACAATGACAGATCAGTAGTAGGTTATTTAATTTACAATATCTTTGGGCCTTCTCTTACGGTTTTGCAGAGAAAAAAAACACGACAAAGCAGACTAAAAAAGTGTAATTTGTTGCATGTTACATATAGCGTTTGACGTTTTTATTTCATGTTAGAACAGTATTGATTTAATACGGATAAAGAAACTAGATCGGACCCAGCCAAGATAAAATTGCATTTATACTACATCATACCTCACTTGTTAATAGTTCTAGATTTACATTAGAAATGTACATATTGTTTGTTTCAGCTTTCACCAACAAAAATCTTTCCTATCTGAATCCAGTAACATTTGTGTTCCTCGCTCTATCAATGTGTTTAATGGGAACTACAGTTGGTTTGGCTACCCCCTTTTTTCTCAGACACAGAAGGTGTGTTCATTTTAATTATCCATTTAAAGATGGTTGATGTAGAAGTATTTTCTGGCATCAAATTTTATATAAAATATTATTTAGACATTTATTCACATGCCACACCTAAAATCAAACCTCAGGTGGCCGAGATTTAAATAGATGTGAACTCTCGCGAGATTTACGTACCGTTACTACGATAATAAACGAGCTACGCTATATCTTCCACTTCCGTTACTTCTTCCAGAATAAAGTAATTAATTTCAATATGTTCATATTTCGTTATCTATATCTGAACTATTACAGCAAGCACGACCAAATCTTTACCGAAATCTTACATAATGCATCTTTAAATGAAAGAATTGAAACACGATTTGAAATTAATACTTATTAATTTTCTGGTGAAGACGGTTCTATGTACTAGGTAGAATCATAACAGGGAGATTCTCCATCTGGCAGCTCGTATGCTTTTGATATGTTTGTTTTCGGGGTAGGATTTTAGTTGTTTACAGACCACCATGTATACCACACGTTTCTTTACACTCTTCAATAATAAATAACGTAACATTTAAAGGTGCTTCTTGGTACTCATTGTTTTGTTTACTTTTCATAAAATGACGAAACAACTTTTTATATTTTTTTCAGAGAAAGGAAAATCGATAGTGAGCCTCCTTATACCATTTCACCACCTCCGCCATATTTTCAGAAACAGTCAACTGAACTCAGAACATAAACTTTTTATTTGTATACAGTATGATTATACATTAATGTGATTAGTATTAACTCATAATTTTTTTGATTGTAACTTTTAAAGATGTAACTTTCTAATAAAACAGTTATATTATCATTAAGGTTTAATCGTATGGGTGTAATTAACTACCTAAATCTTTGTAGTATTTAGGGTATATTTCTGATGTCCATGAACCGTACTTGAAAACACCATTCCTTAAATTTGATATTATTAGTATATATTACCATTAAAAGACATTTAATGTCCCAAATCAATGTCAAAGATTTTTTTTTTTTTTTTTGCAAAATTAAACATTTGTTCCGGAGCAGGTCAAAATTAGTTGGCACGGGTTTTACATACTTTCACTTATGATTTAGAAAACTTTACAACACACAACTAATTGCTGAAACCTGATATAATAATAGATATAAAACAAAATATTACACAAATATTATTAACCATTCACAAAATAAATATTTTTTTCAAAATCTACCTATTATTACATGGAAGTCGTGTGGCTATGTACTGAAAAGGGAATACCAAAAATCATCTAAAAAAATAGACGCCAAAAAAATGGACCGCCACGGTGGCAGCCATCTTGAATTCCAAAATACATGTAGTCATCAAAATAATCTATATTTATCCAATTTTTATACTGCTTTCCGACAGGGTATCAAGTGTATTATGTTGATATGCTATGTCACAGTCACATGCTATGTTTTAGAAATGCAAACTCGAAGATTGACAAAATTAGAAAGGCGTTTACTGATCATGGAGGCCTAAGTGATACAAATACGTGTATAATCGTGAGTTTAAGAGTTTTAGTCCGGATGACATTTTAAAGATCATGATATCCGCCAACAAAACGACATGCCCACTTGATCCGATACCATCCAAGCTATTCGTTCAACTTCTAGACATTCTGGGGGTTGGATGGCCGAATAGTTAGCACGTGCGCGCTGTATCATAAGGCCTGTCATTGAGTCAACTGGCGTGGTTTCGAATCCCTGGTTGTACGTGACAAAGAGTATGGTCGCCTGTCCAACCTCCTGGGTTTTCTCCGGGTCCCCCCGTTTCTTCCCACTTCTAAAGACCCCTACGCGCAAGCGTGTCGAGTAGACGTTAAACCCTATTTCAATCTCTTTCTCTAGACATTCTGCTTCCTGTTATTACTTTATTAGTCAACTTAAAGACCACGTAAAATCAAAAATCGAAATTTCATGTACGTATAGCCCATGGTTACTATATCAACTTTAGGGCAAGTTCACACCAATCTGATTAAGTGTCCGACACGCCAAAACGCTCTTCAATTTTTCAATTACGACCTTAATCCGGTTGATTGGCTGGTGACGTCACGGGCACTACACATACATTATCTATACAATATCTCACTGTCTGTACAATATAGCACTATCAATACACACAGCAAGTTGACAAGCGTCTGTTGACGGTTCAAGAAACACGTGACTGGCCTAATCATAATCACCGAATTATCGTCTTTCATTGATATAGCTTAGACATTTGTGATTGGAATATTTCTGAGTGAATTTAAAATGCCGTATCATTAGCGCATTTACCGGTAATTTGGATAACCCCGTAATACTTGATATCCCAAACTTATGTACAGAAATACAAATGGTGCTAGTCATTTGTCGATATATTCATTATTAGCTATATATAATAATAATAACCATTTATATACATAAAGAACAACTTTTATCGTACCTCCATTTCAAATTTACAGTGAATATTGGCCCATGATCACCGTGAAGGACCTCCCGCTGTGGTGACAATTAATTTCCAGGTTCACAGTCACGGCATCCATAACAGAATAGGCACACTTTTCTGGTCGATTCCGCGTGCGCCACCACGCATAAGGCAAAATCAGACTTGATAAATGTCGAAGGGTCTTACAGACCCTAGCTCGGATTCGAACCCTGAACATTCTAGCGGTTTTAGACATTTTGTCAATGTGAAGAGGCGATTGAACCACCACAACAGAACCAGCTACCAGTGAGCATTCCTCGCGGAAATGCTCATTATCACAGTCTCGAGATATTCACCTGACGGACGGACAGCTGCAGACAATGCTCACTGTCCACCTCAGATATCTAAACCATATTTTAACATCCTACGTCAATTAGGAGGAGATTTATTGTGTCCCAAATTCTCGACAACTGCTATGCTTATCATCGAATATTCTTGCTCTAATTAGAAGCAGGGTTACATTTAAATAAATCATTTATTTAAACCATATTTTATTCAACAAAATGAATTGGATTGAAGAACTAGCAAAGGCCTATATAAGTTCTTTCCACTTCGAAAGGCGGGGACAGAACAATCTTTGCTAATAATTTAGTTCTAAAATGACATTTTTATGTGGACCATCCATTTGCTGGCCTACTTGTGCAACATGGAAGAAGGGTTATAAATTGAGATAATGATTTACGCATGACGCAAGATCCAATAAGGCTATTTACACAAACATAAAACACACGATGGTATATTTCATAATGTTTAATAGCCACGTATGATAAACCATGGCATGACTTATCTCCACCTTTAACCTGTAATAAAGTACCAATTATGGCTATTGAACAGGGTTTAGAAAGGTAGAGACCCTGCAACCTGTGGGAAAATATCCAAAACAAATGAATTGCTTTTTTGTGAGAACGGAGCAGAACAGTGAGACGTTAAACCCCATTTCATTCCATTTTTGGTGAGAATGTAGATATCAATCGCTAGTCCTCGGGTGCACTAGTCCGCCGCTGTAAAAATACTATAAATATGGGTATCTAAAAACCCACGAGGTATGGTGGCTGATTAATATCATGTCGTGATGTCGTCCTTTATAAGGCGACAACCCGACATCACGACATTTTAACCCAATACCACGATATTTTAACCCGACAGTACGACATTTTTATGCGCCAACATTCATAATGTGGACGTATATTGCCGTCGCCCTTGTGTGTGTGGGGTGGGGGGGAGGGGGTGTCGCCTACAGGCCACAATTCTTAAGTGATCATCTTCAAACTTTACATACTTATTCCTTATACCCAAAGGATGATCCCTGTTGCTTTGGGTGCATGCCCGACCCCCAGGGGCAGCGCCACGCCCATTTCTTGTATTTGTTTGTTTGTCGTCTAGAGGCCGCATTTCTTAACGTATCATCTTGAAACTTTGCATACTTATTCCTTGTTGCATGCCCAACCCCCAGGGGTAAAGCCACGCCCATTTTCTTTTTTTGGTGTCTGTATGTCGCCTACAGGCTATACAATTCTTAATCGATCGTCTTGAAAAAATTTCATATGAATTCCTTATACCCTAAGGATGATGCCTATTGTTTTTGGTGCATGCCCGACCCCCAGTGGCAGAGCCACGCCCATCATCTACAGACCGCATTTCTTAACATATCACCTTGAAACTTTACATACTTATTCCTTTTATACTAAGGAACACCCCTATTGTTTGTGGTGAATGCCCAACCCCCAGGGGTAAAGCCACGCCCATTTCCTTTTTTGTGTGTCTGTGTGTCACTTACAACCCGCAATTCTTAATCGATCGTCTTGAAAACTTTTTTATACTTATTCCGTATACCCCAAGGCTGACCTCTATTATATTTGGTGCATGCCCCACCCATGCAATTCTTAACAGATCCTTTTGAAACTTTGCATACCTAAGGATGACCCCTATTGTTTTTGGTGATTGCCCAACGCCCAGGGGCAGGGCCATACCCATTATTTATTTGTGTCTCTGTGTGTTGCCTACAGGCCACGATTCTTAATGGATCGTCTTTGAATGGATCAGCTTGGTATTTGGCATATGTATTCCTAATAGCCTAAGGGCGTCAACTATTGATTTTGGTGAATGCCCCGACCCCCAAGGGCAGAGTCGGGCCCAATTTTTGCCTTCAGCGCCCGAAGGCCACAATTCTGAATTGATTATCATGGAACTTGGTATACTTATTCCTCCTAAGGACGGCAACTATTGATGTTTGTGCACCCCACCACCACCCCCTGTCCTTTCGGTGATTGTTATTAAGCGCTACTCAGTAACCTGGCATATATTTACGGATTAGGTATTCAGATACAATTATAAAATGCGTCATGCATTATACCTACAGAGGATTTTGTTGTTTCAATTGCTAACAAGTACTCGCCAAGTCTTATTGTCTGGAATAACACACATATTACCATACTAACACACATTTTCCTAAAAAAAAATAATACGCATATTACCATTTATCACCTAATAATACATTCTACAGAAGATATCGCTTGTGTGATACATTTTATAATCTACAACGATATCTCCTTAGGAGATATCGCTTTACATGAATTTGATCAATTGGTCAATCAAAAAGGAACTACTTTTTTATTTTTAAAGAACAGTTCATTTTTTTTATTAAAAGTAACTTCTTTTTTACTAAAAAAGAACTATTTTTATTTAATAGGCCTTGATGGAAACACTGGGTCAATATAAAGGACTTTGCTATGGTTGAATTGCTGTCATAAAATGATGTATCACTACGCCGTAATGTAATCAGGTTAAGTAAAAGTGAAATCTATAACAAAGAATTATATTTATTTATTCGTGCATGTAAGAAGGTGTTGGGTAATAAATAAAATCTCCTGCTCGTCTTTTTTTTATATCAAAAAATATCAACACTCGTCGATAAAGTAAAAAAAAAACCTTGGCAAATTGCAAACTTGAAAAAAGTTTCCTTCTTCCCGCGTCATGTGCGATTATACAGCGTTTAATGCGGCCGTTACGACGTCTACGTTTCTATTGAGATCTACTGGCTTGTCAACGGCTCTTACCACTCTTCTGGGATTCTTACACCACATCCTCTACGTGTATCCCGACTGCACGTGCTTTTCTACCACGTGATCACGGCGACTATATAAGCTGGGCAGATTTTTGGAAATTTCAAGATGACGACATATACACTGATGTGTAAACTTTGAATCGCCTTTTTTCATAGCAAGTCGCA